TCCACAGCATGTGTACACCTCCTCACCCCGTAAAAAAATACATTTATTTACTGGCATACTAGGGTACTAAAAGGATTTCTGCAAATATAAAGGGTTGAAAAAAGAGAAATAAATAATGTTTGTTTAATTTTTCAAATGTTTCTAGTTAATTTGGGGGGTGGGAGTAGATAGTCCTCTCAGTGACAGATGCTTCTATGCATGAGACCTTGGTTTGATCCTTGTGCCGTAAAAAGTTATCTTCCTTATACCCAGCTGTACTAGCCTCAGAGAAGCTAAAGGATCTAATCTTTTCTTGCCTTTCTTTTATCCTCTTCTTTCTAAATTCCAGTTAGGAAAGGATATACCTGGTCTTTAAATTTTAAATAAAGAAGCCAAGTGGTGGTACTACATGTCTTAAATCCAGCACTTGAGAGGCAGAGGCAGGCAAATAGAGTGGATTTTGTTTCTATGAGTTTGAGGCCAGCCTGGTCTATGAAGTGAGTTCCAGGACAGCCAGAGCTGTTAAACAGAGAAACAGTGTCTCAAAAACAAACAAACAGCCATAGTATAAATTGTAGTAAAGGCAAGAACATACCTTCGAAGCTGCATATCATTACGCTGATATGAATGGCTGCTTGAAAGAACAATAATCCTGGCACAGCAGCTACTTTTCACCCAGGCCAGCAATTTTTCACAGAATGACTTGGATTTATACTTTGTATGACATTGAGATAGTGGAAAGAAAATATGAAAATGAGATATGAATATAAAAATAACCTATGTAACCATTTACCTATCAACTTCATGTGATGATAGGATTTACTGACACTAAAATGATTAGCACCATCAAATACACTTCTTTTAAACTGAAAATGAAGGGCAAAGATCAAGGATTTAATATATCTTTATAATCATAAAATAAATTGTGAAGCATGTAGATCTCTATCCAAAGGAAAATTTCCCTTTTCTTTACTTAAATCTATTGTACTTAATTACCAACTACATAGTAATCTGTGAGGTATTTAATCAGACGAACGCAAAGGAATGAATATCTGGCTTTGATTTCTCAAAGGAAAAGAAAAACATACACATCTCAGATAAACAAATATAAAAAGCAATATCACGGAAAAAGACATAAACAATAGTAGCATTAGTGTTGCAATGGTGCATTTAAATAACAATGCCACACAGAAAGAGAATTAGCAGGCCACTGTGAGGCACAGGTGAACCTTACACAAAACACTGAGGAAAGGAAGCTAGACTTAAGAAAACATCTACTCTAGGAGCCAGTCACCTCTATAATGATTTACCTTATCACTACCTGTTCTTGGATAGTTGACAATATTATATTTCTTCACTTGGAAGAATTTTTATTTGCACTCTTCAGCACATATATTTAGCTAAAAAAAAATTAGGAACTATAATACAGTTAACTTTTCCACTAAACTTTTTTGCGTGGGGGGTGGGGGGAATTTGAGACGTGTCTCACTCTGTTGCTCTGGCGGTTCTGGAACTCACTTTGTAGATTGGGTGACCTTGAACACCCAGATCCACCTGCCTCTGCCTCCTGAGTGTTGGGTGTGAACTGCTACCCCGGCCCCGACCTCCACTAAACTCTTAACAGAGCATAATAGTGATCACCAGTGAGGCTGAATTTAATTACATAACAGACTCTTATTTCCAAAAACAAAAACCTTCTGTATTTTGATTTCCTGACAGATAATAAATAACCCAATCAACAAATGTTTACTGAATTTCTCTATGTGGAAAGCACTATCCTAGGAGCTGGGTAGGGCACTGAGTGTCATAATGTCACCCTTATTCACTCTCCCCTAGTGAGGTAATAAATATGTGATGGCAGGTAATGAGGACTTCTGAAGAGAGCACAGGATGAACAGACGTGATGTGGTCAGGGAAGGTAAGCAAACACTAAAGAGAAGCAAGTCTTTAGCAGGAAAGCATTTCAGGTAGAAAAATGGACTCTGAGATGGAGTGAATTTAGTGTCTGCACATCACCATAGGCACCAGCGTGTTGAGGGCTGGATGTGCAGAGCAGCTACCGATAGAACTCTCTGCAATCATGGCAATGTTACTTTTTTTTTCTGGGGGTGAGGGGTAGAGACAAGGTTTCTCTGTATCTTTGGAGCCTGTCTTGGAACTCACTGTAGACCAGGCTGGCCTGAAACTCACAGAGATCTGACTACTTCTGCCTGAGTGCAGGGATTAAAGCTATGAGCCATCACTGCCCAGCATGACAATGTTCTTATGGCAATCTCTTGCTTTGTGAACCTACATAGAATACAAAGATAGATACACCAGACTAGAGATTATTTTATCAGATGGCCAGGCACAGAGTCTCATAGGTCCTGGTGAAGGACTGTGGATTCATTTTGAGAGATGGGAAGCCCCTGAGGGTTTCAAGGAGGAGGAAATGTGATTTCACTTGGTTTAGATGATCATTGGTATTATAGTTGGAAAATAGACTACTGTTTATGGAAGTGCTGAGGGCAGAGTAAAACAGGAGCTTGGGTGATGACAATAGCTTTGTATAATTGAGCCATGGTGGTTAGAGCATGTTTTGACAAATAATTCATATACCAACATTTTTCTGCAGATCTACCCGAATTGAGAATGTGTTAAAACTCATGATATAAGTCACAATTCCTTCCAGTATAAAAACGAACGATGGTAACACACCTGAAATATTACAAAGCTTTTATCAAATCAGACCTTTCCTAAGAGTACATAAAAATACAGGAGAAATAATTCTGTCTTGATTTTTAATGCCACATTGACTGTGTTTTGTTACTATACTCTACAATGAATTTTCAAAAGTAAATATACCAACCTTAATGAAAATGGATCTTAACTGAAGCACCACTAGCTTCTTTGATGGTAATGCATATACTACAAAGAGAAGAGGAAAAGGAAATCATAGGACAGGCTACAAAGAAGCAGTTGCTCAGTTGAAATCATTAGTATAAGTAATATTTGAATTACAATAGCTTTTGCACTTAAATATTTTTAACAGTTAAAATATAGGTTTTAGAGGTGATGTACAAGTGTGACTATCAGAGTTTCGATCCTTAGAATCCACATGTGATGGTTAACATCGTCAACCTGACTCCATCTGAAACCAACTACAACACACTTGTGAGGGATTTTCTTGGCTGAATCAACCGAGGTGGGAAGATCCTCCCTAAATCTGAGCAGCACTTTCTGGTGTCAGCTCATAGACAACAACATGGAAAAAGGAAGCACTTGCTTTTTGCATGCTTGGCCTCACTCTAGCTGGCATTAGAACCTGTTTCTCTGCCAGGCAGTGGTGGCACACACCCTTAATCCCAGCACTTGGGAGGCAAAGGCAGGTGAACCTCTGTGAGTTCAAGGCTAGCTTGGTTGACAGAGCAAGTTCCAGGGCTGCCAGAGCTACAAAGAGAAACCCTGTCTCAAAAACAAAACAAAACAAAAAAACAACTACAAACAAAACAACAAACACAAAAAGAACCTACTTCTTCAGGACTCCAACACAAAATGAAGACCAGCTGAAGCATCTAACTTCAATGATTGAATAATTCCTGGATTCTTGGCCTTTTCTTCAAGATTCAGCCATTTTGGACCAGCCAGACCCCAGACCCCAGCCTGTCAGCCACTATCTATACACACACACTTTATCAGTTTTGACTAACACACCATGCATTATACAATCATGGTGGATGTGGTGGCTCACCTGTAATAATTCCACCTCTCAGAAGGTGAAGACAAGGGATCCCAGGAGCAAGCTGGCTAGCCAGACTAGCTATATCATGGGACTCTGGGTTTACTTGACTCTGCTTCAATGAATAAAATGAAAAGTAATAAAAAAAAAAAAAAACACAAAAATACAAGCTCCAAGCTCTATGCCCTTTCTTTTAGCTTGTTCCTTTAGGTCTTGAATTTTGTTCAATCACCCTGTTTTACTCTTCTGTGTAGCTGGAGTATAGGAGTAATGCCACCAAGCCTGGTTTGTAGTCTATTTCTTTTTAATTCTTTAATTCTTGCCAGATATTGTTAGCAGAGTAGTGAGTTTCACCAGAGCATTTTTATACAAACTCAGAGCATTTTTATACATTGTCAATGTACTTTGTTTCTTAGAGTCTATTCCCAGTTTAAAAGAACTCAAGCTGTACACAATTATTCACAGGACCCTATCTCAGATAACTAAATACTGTACATAGAAAAAAATGCCATAGACGTACCTTCAGTATTTATACTGAGTTCTTCAGAATCTTCTTCTTCAGTTGCATAAGGATTGTTTCCAACCATTGGCACCAGGCAATCGGTATAGAAATAACCAATCTTAGACATGTCCAGTGTAGAAATAATAAGATCGATTGCAAGCTGGCCAACATTTCCAACAGATACTGCTGGCTGAAAAAAAAGAGATATGCTCTATGAATCACCAAAATTAGCAGCACTTTGAAGTTTAGATAGCAAAAGTACTAGATGCTTATGCTTAGGTACATAGCGAGACACTGATTCTTTTACAAAATAATACCAACAAAACTTCCTGCCTGTGTAGAACTTCCATTCTACTAAGGTGAGGTTTATTTGTGATAAACAGTAAAACATACCGTAGTATGATGGAAGAATGCAGTGTATGTGTGCCTGCTATTTTAAGTAGGATAATCAAGGACAGGCTTACTGTAGGTGACAAATGACTACAGCCTGAAAATGGTAAAGTAGAGAGCCATAGTTAACAGTTTTTTGTTTTGTTTTTTGTTTTTCGAGACAGGGTTTCTCAGTGTAGCTTTGCAGCCTCTCCTGGAACTCGCTTTGCAGACCAGGTTGGTCTTGAACTCACAGAGATCTCCTGCCTCTGCCTCCCAAGTGCTGGGATTGAAGGCATGCACCACCACCATCAGGTTTAAAATTTAAAAACATTTAAAAATAATGTGTCTGTCTGCGGGTAATGCACATATAAGTGTGGGTACCCTAGGGAACCCAGAGTGTCAGGGACCCTGAAGATGAAGTTATAGGCCATTGTGAGCCTTTAACAACTCCATTCTCCACAAGAATCAATGGCTAATTACTGAGCCATTTCTCTAGTCCCTTCCCCTCAATTTTTGTTGTTCTGGTTGGTCTGTTTATTTATTGAGGCAAGTCTCCTTCAGGATGGTCTGTAGACACATTCCAGCCTCACAGTCAACAGAATGCTTATCAAAAACGATGGCTACAAAAAAGGGCAATTCTACAAATGCCCGTTAGCTACCATCAGTTAATGCAATTGACAGGCAGATCAGTCCTGTCCCAAGCTACCTGAAGAGAGACTTTCACGGATAAAACTTAAGGATTTTCCCCGACAGACTCACGAGCCACGTATCTGCAATCTACAAACATCACAGCTGGCAGGCAAGCCTTGACGGTTCTCATGAACACGGTTCTCCTAAGGCCAGGTGGCTTTCCCGGGTCGGGATGGCGACAGTGCCAAACTCAAGACTCACCATCAGGAGTGTGAAGTTCGTTAGGTCGGGGATCGACTCCCCGCAGGGAATGAACATGACTGCTACCGGCGGGAGAGAAGCTCGAACACTGACCAGGAAAAGATCTCCGGAGCGCAGATGGTGGAGCACGTGACCGACCGGGGTCCTTCGGGCGGCCGGCGCTCTGCCTGATCGCAGCGCGGAAGGAGGCCTTAAGCGCGCG